CGGGCGGGCCCCGAGGCAGCCGGCCCGCGGGGCGTACAGGTGCAGCCCACCCCGCACGCGCGCGGGCTCTCGGCCGTCTTCCCTGACCGGCCTCCTCTTGAGGCCGCCCGGGTCCTTTACCCCACACTGGACGCAAGCCCTGGGCCCTCCGCGTCTTCCTCTCCACACCCACCCTGTACTTCACAAAGAACCCCATCCCCCACTCCTAGACCGACGCCACCAGGCAGTTCACACCACGGCCTGGCCTTTGTCTCTGCTTACCTAGGCGCTTGGAGCATCAATGAATAGGACAAAGTTTGAGGCTTTTACGCCTGTTCCACCTTTTAAAGGACACCTTCTATTCTTATAACCTTTCCTGCTCCTGTCATTGAAAACCCTAATGGGTTATACTACAACGTGAAAATCTCATGAAGGCAACACAATTGTCAAACACATATGGCAATCAGAATCACAATGGATGCTTTTTCTCTTTGCAAAGGTTTTCTAAAGGTAGAAATTGAGGCAACTGGATATGATAGAAAATAGGATTTGAAAGGCATTGTTTTCCTCACGTGTAAGAGAAATGAAGGGTGATGACTGGGGAAGTTCTTTAAACCTTCCTATTGGATCTACAAATCTGGTCAACTTTAGAGTGAGGTTTGCTCACAATGTATACTGACATCTATCTATGTCTTGCTAAAATCTATTGCTACCAACAATTATTCAGTTCTGAGATATTCATATCGCGGATGATTGACTCACTGTCCTATGTTAAGACTAACAGTTCGGAACACTGGCTTCCTGATTTGGAACCCTGGTTTCCTGATTCTTTACCTGCATCTATTAAAGCCTATGTACATAAAGCAAAAATACTCTCTCCGAGACTTCTCTATAAAAACACTGACTTCACTTCTCCTTGCAGCCCCACCTCTACTATAAAATACTGGAAAGTTGATTAATACCTAAAAAGAGTAATACCAGACAGCTTTTATCCACTTCATTTCTACAACAAACAGAATACTGGCAGGAAGATTTGCAAGAGTAACACATTTGTGTGCTCCACCAAGTAATTCTTGTCCAGACCACTCTCGATGGGGACTTTCCTCTCCCCTGGTCTAAAAACCACTTTCCAATGTGCAGTTAAGTAACCTCTTACCGCCCATTCAGGCTTCTTTTTCATTCTAGATGCTGCAATAGGCCTCCCTTGCAAATTTTATGGGAAACACCTGCCTCCCAAACCAAGCTATTTCACAAAGCAGCTTTTGCAGGGTTCCACCAATGTCAACGGCCACCTCATTCTTTCCTAGATACATAGTCCCTCTCTTCATTTTTACCTTTACTATAAACTGCAGCTCTGTTTTTACAGTGACACTTTTTCAGCAAGATATCCAAGTCACTAGAACTGATATTAACCTTACAGATAAAATTACTATCTGTGGCTTCCACCTTTCATTTTACTTACAAGCACCATTTCCCAAACACTCTCAAGTAAGTTTTTAACTCCCTTAAGCACAATTGGGCAGACTGTCTAATGAAAACCCTGCTCCTTGTCATTTAGTAACACAAAGCAGACGATTTTATATTTGTATCTGTACCATTACCCCCAAATATATTCATGTACACCATGGGTCTCTGGCACAATGTAAAAAGTACCAATGCCATAAAGCAAATAACCTATCTTAGTCAAGTCAGGGCAAGTTCCCATCCAAAGTGGGCTGGCAAAAGGCCAGGCCTGGGAGAGCCAGCACAGGTCTAATCAATGAGGGCCAATTAGGACTCTAGGGAAACTGACATGTAGTCAAACCAACTCTGGAAAAAAAAAAAAAAAAGAACAATCTTGCCATATAAGTCTAGACTACCACACTAATTAAAATAAGGTAAGCTCACTCCATCTGCCCATGCTTAGGTCACCCAGGTATTTGACAACTTTACAAATTTCAAGTCAGGAAAAATGACAATAAATTCAAACTCCGTGGTCCTCAACTCACTGGAGAAACCAGAGCCTCAGATTTTTTTTTTTTACATTCAAGAAAGGCACTCCTATCTAACCCACCATCTAGATGTCTTACTATTTTTCACTTTAAAGTTTAAGGACTGTCTACCTGAGAAGGATTTAGAAAGGGTATAGGGCTTCCCAGGAATCTGTTCTAGGTCATTTGAAGGGTCATGGGACTCAGAAGATATTACTGAAGGATAACATAGCTTTTACACTACGACATGAGAGGAAAAGACCAAAGAGAAAGAGCCACTAGTTAAATTAGTTCAGATATGCAACAGGTGAGAAGAACTAAGATGGTAACAGAACTCCTTTTACTAGAATTGTCTGTGCAGGTATTAGCAATTTAATGGGGTGGCAGTTGAGGAGGGTCACAGATGTGCAATTACGAGGCTAAGTAATTCAAAATCAGATTTGGGGGTCACTAATGAAAGTAATGAAGATTCTTACAAACTTCAGCAAGAAACAGAAGAGGCAAACCACAACAGCTGTGTGTGGACAGTGATTAAGAAGAAAAACAGAAGAGGCAAAGGAGAAAATAATTAGGGCTTCCAAGGCTCTTTTTTCATTTTTAAGAACATATAAGTTACAAGGTGCATTTAAGCTACCTTCACTGGGAAGCAGACCAAATACAGCAAAAGGCAGTTCGGAAAATAGAAGCCTGGGGGGTTGGGGGGAGGAGAGTACCTCTTGGCGCTGGTGGAGAGGAGTTTGGAGTTTTTGCTCATGCTGACTTTACTCTCCTTCTTCTTGGGGGTGTTTGTTTCTTTCTCGGTTTGCTGGTTGGAGGACGAAGATGAGGAGGAGCTGGTGCTGGCCCTCGAATCGTCATCCGACATAGCGAACCCCCCACCCCACCCCGCAAACAGCCCCTGCAATGAGAGGGAAACAAAACAGAAAAACACAAACCATGCAGCGCGAGTAAATAGGGAACTCGGGTGCTGTCAGGAGAGCTATGGACTGGGGGTGCACCCAACTGCCCACCGCCCTCCACTCGCTTTTCAAAGTCTTCAGGCCCATTAAGGTTTTTGCAGATCGGACGTGGTTTTATTTTTGGCCCTCAGAGGGGGGACGCGCCGAGAAAACCATCAGAAGCAAAGCAAGCCCAAGCCGTTCCTCCCTCGCCCCCCCCCCCGGGGCTCCCCTCCGGGCGGGGAGGGGAGAAGGCGAGCCGCCGGAGAAGGAGGGCAGGGCGGGGGCGCGGGGCGCCTCGGCGGGGCCGGGAGGGAAGGTCCCGGCGGTCGACGGGCCGCAGGGCTGTTTTTCTCGGTTTCCCGGGGGTCGCGGGGGGTCGGTGGCAAAGCAAGACAGCGGGGGCCAGAAGCGGAGTTTGTCGAGGTCGGGAAGCCAGAAGGGAAGGAGAAGAGTAAGAGAGGAAGCCAAAACGGGGGGACGGAGGCGGGGAGCGGGTGCCGGGTGGGGGAAGGGAGAGGCCGGTGGGGGGGCAGGGGCGACGAGGCCCGACGCCCCTCCCCGCCGGCCTGTCCCAGGGCCGCCCGGCTCCCGGCAGCGCGGCGGGGGCGGAGGTCCCGAGCACACGCCCGATAGCCACCCCGAAAGGGGGACGAAGGAGGGGGGCGGGGGACTCGGCCTCGGCAGCGAAGGAATAACAATGAGTCCGTCGGCCCCGGAGGGGTTAATCCCCGCGGGCCCCCGCCTGGGGGGAACCGGGTTCCCCCCAACTCCCCCTCCCCCGCTCCCGGCCCCCTAGGAGGCCAGTGGGGGGTTCCTCGGACAGCGCTGACAGTTCAAGTCACAATGCCCCCCGGGGCCCCGACGCGGACGGCCCCCGCACCCCACGCGGCCCGGGG